GGAGGGGGGGGGGGAAAAAAAAAAACATCAAATTCCATACTCAACAATCTTTGATGTCTTCAAAACAGCAGCAGCAGCAGTAGCAGCAGACGTTTTGTTTCTTCATTTCTTTAGCAGACAATTAAATCATCATAAGCAAATCCGGGGATACAGCGAAAAACATATTTGATAATCATATCCCCCCAACAATAAACAACTTAAAATTTGCTACACATTAGTCAGTGGTCTATTGAAGAACAAAAACAATTTCAACTTAATCAACTGTTACAAATTTATTCTATAGAATACCCATCAAATACCCATTCACAGTTTACTGTTAGCATAAAAAACCAACAGAAACAGTATAAACTCTCCTCTTCTAGGAAAATTTACTTCTTAAAAATTGTTTGAACACTTAATAATTGCTTCAATCAAACAAAAAAAAAAAAAAAGAACTCGTAAAACTCGGCCTTTTTGATTGCAGTTTTTTAGTAAACTTTAAAGTACGTACAATAAGTGAAAAAGCAAAACAGCAATCTTTGATTGAACAAATTTTGCTAACGTTACAAAAAAAAGAAAGTTTGATATCTAATCATTGAAAAAGACAAAATTTTAAGCTTAATATTTGGCTATAACTGATAACAACTTTTTTAGCTTTTTTTGTCGAAAAGAAAAAGACAAAATTTTAAGCCTAATATTTGGCTATAACTAATACCAACTTTTTTAGCTTTTTTTTTTGTTGAAAAGTCAATAACAATGATAATAGTGATAATAATAGTAATAACAATAATAATGTAAATAATATTAGCAATAATAATAAAGTAATAATTAAAGAACTGACTGATAATATCAGCAGAAATAATTGTAAAAACACATCAAAAAAAAAAGTAATAGTTGTCTGTTATATGTTAAATAAAAGAATGAAAAGGAAAAATTTTTTTTGTTTATTGCTTTGATTTTATTCATTCTTTTTTTTTTTAATATTATTATTACTTTTTTTTTAATGTTTTTATCGGTTATGTTTTTGCTTTTGTGCTGTTTCATTAACAACCAAACAACTTCATCAGCTTTTTCTGCAATTTAGTGAGCCTCCCCTGAAAATAAGTGCCACTTTTCAAGTATCAATGCTTTATGATTTTGAACAGGTGTTACGTGTCAGTGCATTAAAAATTGTAATGCACAAAAAGCAAGATAAGATTAAGATTTCTTCTTAGTCAATGCAAAAAAAAAAAAAAAAAAAA